GAGGATGGATGAAAATGTATCTGTGTAGTAGGACATAAAATCCTTCAGGTATATACCCAAGAGTCTTATAACTGCTAGCTCTCTGAGGATTCTTCAAACTGGTTTCCATAGTGGCTGCACCAATCTGTATTCCCACAAAGAGTGAATAAGTTTCCTTTTGCCTTACATCCTTGCCATCATTTGTAGCTTTTTGTGTTTTGGATCTTAGCTATTTTTATTGGGGTAAAATGAAATATAAAAGTAGCTTTAATTTGCATTATCTGATGACTCAATATTTTGAACATTTAAAAATTTTTCTCAGCAATTTACTTTTCATATTTTGAGAACTCCCTTTTTATTTTCATGCTCCAATTTTTAATTGGGTTTTATTTTAATGTTTAGCTTTTAGAGTTCTTTGTGTATTATATTACTAATCCCCTGTCAGATGAATAGCTGGTAACGTTTTTTTATCCAGTTCTGCAGGCTGCCTCTTCAGTTGAATTATGGTGCCTTTTTTCTTTAATATTTTTTTTTTGAAGTACAAGATATTTTTATTCTTTTGGGTCATTTAAAAACCACTGTGATTACAGAGTAGGGCATTCAGAGAAGAGGAGGGGGGTCGTATGTAGCAATCCCGGAAGAGGCGACTTCCAGCTCACACCCTAATAGGTAGGATTTGTAGGATGGGGAAATAGCCAGGGAATGGTCATTGAGTCTGCATCTCCTGTGGTGCTTCAGTTGCTCAGAACACAGTTATATGAGATACAATCCTCATCGCTTCATTAAAGAAACATGATGTACATGTAATGGCAATAGAGAGAAAGTCCAGGGACAAACCTGATGACTTCTAAGACATTCTTGGCCCTTGTTTAACCGTATTGTCTCATCTCCTTTCAACACATCATATACTGTAGTGCAAACTGTCTTGATTTCCTGGGATGACAAATACCTCTTCCTCTTAAGGCACTCTTTTTTTTTTTTTTTTTTTTTTTTTTTTAATTAAACCCCCTTTTAAAAAAAAG